TCGCGGAGAAATGTTCTGAATATGTGTTCGCGATGCGCTTTTTTACTGACAGTATTATTTAACGAAACATCAACAATTAATTCACGGGGATACCCATTTTTTTACGCTGTCCCTATTTATTTGACAGCGCCTTTGAATTTTTGGCCCTCTAGCTTTGTTATTTTCCGTCACCTCGTCAATGTATATTTTTTTTACAGATTTATCTACAATATTATTTAATAATTTATAAATATTGATATATTTGCGTACTAAAAAAAATTTATTTTGAATTTACCGTTTTTTTCTTGCCCAAATTCACGCTTTTAAAGATCTAAATAAAACTGAGAATCCAACATATAATATTTATGTGATGAATCATATATCAATTTATATTGTTTTTCGAAATTGTTCTTAATTTATTTTCCCAATATTTTATTCCATCTAAGAGAAACTTACTAAGAAATTAGGTGTCTTAAGTATGACTGTTGGTAAAAAGTATGAACGGCAACATAGTTGATAACATTATAATACATTTCTTGCCCATTATTTCGTATTAGAGATACATACTCGAGCAACTCTTTTGTCTATGCGAGACTATTTGAGGACTAGAGAATAGGTCTTTATTCCAATAGCAAGTTTTCGAGTAAATTCGCCAGAAGCAAGCGCAATAAACGTTGATAGTTTAAGAGACAGTGGAAGAACAACTATCCGTGTTACGGCCCACCACAGTTGAAACCACTAAACCAATTTCTCATCGCTTTTGTTCCTCGTTGTACCATATTGTTTGTTCAATAAACATTTGTTTGTACCAAACAACTTACAAGTTCGAGCACTTTCAATTAAGGTAGTGGCATTCCACACTCGGCACCGCCAATTCATAAGAAATTTTTGGCAATCATTCTTTATCGTTTTAACGAACTATTGCATCAGAAGTTTCGTTTGACCAAGAATTAAGATACAGCATTCAATGTGGAGGTGACGGCATTATAATTTCACGACTGGCAACGCCACCACAGTAAAAAATTGTACTATCCTAGAATCGTTATGTAGCAAGATTGTGTTCCACCCAGAATTTTCGTTTGTACCCAAAAGTAATTTAAGATATAGAAATTTAAGTAGGGTGAGAGGTTTCACCTAACCCTCAACACTAGCCCCGCCTTCACCTCGCTTAAAAATTGCAACCATTGAAATCGTTTGGCGTCGTTTGTACCGGGAATGTTCTATCAAAATTTTTGTTCATAACGTATAAAATTTAAATATCTTTAATAAAATAAGATGGAGATCTTGAAAGTAATTCTTTATGGCAAAAACATTTTTTTAAGAAAGAAAACTTTTGACATGCCTAATGATATCCTTTATTGCCCACTGCTCCTAATTTATTAAGAAGAGCAAAAACTATTTAGTTAAAGTTAAATGTTAAAAAGTTCATGAATTTATACAAAGAGCCTATTCTTAAGGGCCGCAATGAAAAATATTTTTCTTGCACGTTTGAAAATATTTGATAAGTATGGGTTAATAAGTTAATCTAATTTTATACAAAAATATTATCAGAAATAAAAAGTGGTTTTGTTGTATTAATATGTGCAAGAATGTAATCTCGTGAAAAAATGTCTTATTGGGCCAAATTGAATTATTTTCAGTACCCGCGTTTTACGTCCGTTTTCTTTCACTTTTGCTTCCATTTTGTCACACCAGACCTACGGCTCGGTTATTATATTCGGCATGTTATCACGACCATGAGATCTTCAATAGTAAATTTTGGAAGTAACATGGACGCTTGATATTCCTCTCTCTACGTTTCGCTTGCGATCCGGGCTTGCTCGTAGCGTCGCCGATGTCGTTCGTCGCGGTCCCCGAGCCCGAAGAGGGGATGGTGGTGCTTGTTCAGTCGTCAGATGGGAGCAAACAAGCTCTGACTTACACCTCTATGGTGTTTCGTGACCCGCATAAGCAGCAGGCAATAAATATACTCCGCGCACCTCCGCGAAAATACGAAAAGTACAGAAGTATTCCTCTTCAGAAGTATTCACAAATAAAATTTGATCTGAACAGATGAAAATTACTTCTAATTAAGTGGATATCATTTTTTTCAGTAACTGTGTTGCGTATTTATGTTTTTCTAGGAAGATTATCGACGACATGTTCGTGGTCGCAGCCGCCGGCGCTTGGCCGGCCATCGCGTACGCGCAGCCTCTCGGCAAGGGGACTAAAGCACTATCGCGCGTCAGCACGAAAACATTCCCTTACCTTGTCTCTGGTCTTTTTCAACCCGAGAAGGAGTTTCTGCATCGTCGCACAGCAAGAGATTTACTGGACATTTGTAAGGAAATGTATAGTCGTAATTTGGCCCGGGATCGAACCGAGATCGCCCGTGGAAAGCGAACACAGCTAGCCACAAGAGCCACCCGAAAGAATAGTGGCAGGCAAACTACTATACAGTAATATAACATTAGTACAAAAGTCGTACTACAGACTCGCAAATAATTCTGGAAACAATGTGCAAGAAGATTGGTTCTAACGGTTATGCACAAGTTTCGATTAAGTTTTAGCTACCTCATTTCTGGCACAGAAATGTTCAGCATTGTAATTTTAACATGTACCTGCAATACTCTTTCTTTTTTTTCAATCTTCTGTTTTTTTTTAAAAAAAATTCCCACAAATTTAACAAGATATTTTTAATGATTGAATAGATTCTCGATTGCTATGTGGTTATGACGTCGCGTCAACGACTAGATCATTGTCCGTAACGTGTATGTGCCCTCTTTCCCTCGGGAGGTGGGCGCGAGGGTCTCCTCCCGCTCTACGGCGAGATCCGGCGCAGACCTACCCCAACCAGGTATCTCCCGGCGCAGGGGTTTCCCCGACCAGGTATCTCCCGCCAGCGAGGCAGCGTCCTAGCCGGTGCACGGTCTGAGCTGCCGACCGGTCTCCCGGCGTGTGTAGTAGTGCAGTGCATGTTGGTGAGTATGTAAGGGGTGAGAATGGAACTAGAAAGAGGTAGAGAATATCGCGCTCGGATCGCGGCCAGTTTGTTAGGGCATTCTCTTGGAATCGAACTGAGCGGAGAAATCACGGAAAACTACCGATCAGCTCAGCCGGCCGCTAGAATTCTCCTTCAGAGAGCGACTGAATTCGACCTAGGTGACAAGCTAGTGCCGGGAGTGGAAGCCTAGGACCTCCTGGTCAGAGGGATTGCAGTGACTTCAGTTGATGCCCTGGGCCTTCTCTCCCGATATTTTTTATGGATTACAACGTGTTTTATACTCATGCACACAATATGAATCGGAAGAGTTCATGGATGTTTTAAAACCTTCACAATTGAGATGTGTAGGACGGTGAACATGTGATATTTTATGTCAGTCATTCGTTTTTATCCTGTCGCATTCGCTTGGGTTTCAAGCTAGAACAAGAAAAATGTGAGTTTGTTCCGTTAGAGAAGTTTTCAACACACAATTGATGTGCTTTCGGGATAGGTGTCAAAAATTGAAAGAGAGGCTAATAAATTACGCAAATTGACTGTCTAGGAGGAAATAAAAAATGGAATCAATGGTATCCATTTTTCAAAAGTCTGGAAATGTAATTCGACGGAAAGTGGGCCATTTGTTCAAACATTAGCGGGTGACATATACACGTGTTGCTATCGACGGCACTTGAAATTACGCAAGGTTGATGAGGAGGGGTCACAGCGTTACGGTGACACAGGGAAGGACAGTGGAGGATTAACACATAAGCAAGCACTGCTTCTCTTTTGAGAATGTGTTTGCCATTTATCTGCAGAAAAAGGAAATGTTTAAGAATCTTAGAGAAGAAAAAATACTTTGCCAAGAACAAACAGAATTATGTTGACAGATTGGTTGAAAACATTTCCTGCAAACGTGTAGCTCATCCCTAGATAAAAATAGTCAATGTCTAAGTAGTTTCTAAACCGACGTTGACATAAATTAAGTATTCGAAAAAACTGTCATCAGTGTACCAGGCATCTGCCGTTCACCAAGAATTAGATCATCGTGAGTAACGACCAGATGAAAGTTTTTTGTTAAGTTTATTAGAATATTAACTTGTCTTATTGAAACCTTTTCATTTTCAATGAACTTGGAGGTTCACAACTGTGATCAGCAGTCAAGTAAATGTTTTTCTTTCTCGACTTAGGTAAAGAAACGCATATCCAGAAAATTTTCAAATGAAATAAATATATTCTTAAACCTAACACAAAACTATTAATCCTTTTACAAGAACAAAATCAGTTAAGAAATAATGTTTGGATCCTTTTACTAAACAAATGGAGAAAATAACAAATATACAACTTTACAATCTGCACAAGCACACATACAAATATTTACACTATAAAAGTATTTCCGTATACTTCGTAACTACCATGCCCATCACAACCTCATTGAAATTTCTCTCTATTGAAATTCAGTATCTGTATAAAAGAATAAAATAATTACAATATTTCATACGTACTAAATTGAAACACGTGACACTGTCATAACAATACAATTAGTTTACCACCTGTTCCAATTTTCAATCGTCCTATTTATTCTATGCTGCTTTCACATGCCTTTACATACCAAAATGTTGTTCTATCTTAACATTGTGTCCTATTCCAAGAGAATTGAGTAACAAGAACTCAAAATATCCACTCTTTAGGGTATAAAGAAATTGTTTTCTTTTACTCTCTCTATTTCTGTACAATTCCACGTAATTCTGTGACCAGCTAATTTTTCTCTAACCTACCTCAAATTACCGTTATGTTAGCACCGCGCTCACCCTAACCTTGAAAACATTCCCTCCTCGCGTAATTGCATTCGTCTGTGCATCTCGAAATGTTATATTTCTAGTCTATTTCTCCTTTAATAGTTTGATTTACAAGCAAAATAAGTACAGCGTTTCAATGGCAGAGTCCTGCACTATCACACAATTAATTGAGAAATTGCAGATCGCTATTGTCAGGGGCAAAGTAAAAAAAAAACATTTCCTTCGCAGGGCGTTATATTGCCGCCGCAAAACGTTGATTCTACCTGGGCCTTTTCGGATGTCGTTGTAGAACTTCGGCTTTCCTCCTCCTCGAGTCCGGCTGTCCTCAATGCAGCGTCCTCCGCGTTGCACCACGTGCCATCCGTTCTCCGGTGTCGTTTTTCTAAATTATTCGCCCTGGGTATGGCTACTCGATTTTCCACATCCTCCAAATACCATAGATAGAAAGTACCAAATTACAAAAGTTAAACCATACGTCAAATGTATTCAAGTAATGAAACAAGATTCTTTTACTAACTCACCATCCGACATTCAGGGCTGCCTGCCTCCTTCTCGTTCTTACTTCTGTCTGTCTCCCCTCCCCTCCCCTCGCGTCGATCGGCAGGCACACTACAATTCATTAGTATCAGAACGTATATAAATACAGGCGGCTGCTGCTGCAGAGGGCACAGCCCGCGCTATTTAAATGTAGCTTTCTTATTTTCCACAGATAGGCAACGGTTCCAATACGTTCTTTGACTTCCAAGGCACCCAACTGGTGGTTCTGCACGTGCGTACCATGAGAGCCGAGGGTGTCGGCGGTCTAGTCCGTCTCGACGCTACGCAAGTGCAAGACTCGCCAAATTGTCAACTAAAAATGAATAATAATTTTCATAAATTGTAAAAGTGCAGATATTTTAGTCATCCGTTGCGTTCATGCAGATTGCGGACTAAAGATAGAAAATGCGGAAATGCGGTACCTCTGGCAACACTGGTGGAATGTTTCCACTGAAAACATCTCCGAGTCTTCCTAAATTTCTCGCAGTGAATGGTGAACACGCTTACAGCGCTCCCGGTGGGTCAAGGTATCGTTTGTTCGTCCATATTGCTCCAAACCTAACTCGTGTGCTCATCCACGTTCCCCTTACAAAACCTTTGAGTTATCAAAAACGCTCTTCTAAATACTGCTGTAGGAAATGAAACATTGCTTCAAAATGTCAAAATTTCGTGTTATCGACGTTTGTATTATCCAGGTTTGACTGTATATTTAAATTCAAACTTCTAACTGCGGATTAAAAAAAATAATTTTTGTATTTTGAAAATACAAAATACCGTCAGAAAGTATTTTTGATAGAGATTCAAAGTACTTGTTCAAATATGTATTTTCGACACAAAATACAAAAGTATCGAAAATA